AATTTCCTATTCTATTGCTCTGAGAAAACTGACAGTATGTTACAAAATGTTCATAGTAATTACGTATAGCAGTGGAGCATGAATACAAATTAAAATCTCCTAGTACTATGACTTTACTGTATTTACTACAACATTGCTCGATTATTTTAAATAATAACATATATTCGTTATCACAACTACCTGGTGGAATGTAAACAACGCATATGAAAAATATGCGGTGTGGCCACTAGACAAGCGCCGCCTTGTTTCCGCCCGTCTACGCGATCGCATCTTAACAATTTGTATCCAGGTGGAATAACTTCAGAGTTCCCTTGAATAGATTCACTAAAGCCGGTTTCCGTAATAGCAAATAAATCGGAACTCGAGCTAGCAACGGCCACCCAGAATTCATCTAATTTCGTTCTCAGTCCTCTTACGTTCTGGTAAAAAATTTCAATAGTTCTCCTAAAGCATAGTAAAGTCTTATAAAGGTAAAGTCTCATAAAGCAAAATGTACAAGTTATGCGGCTGTAAAGGGACCTCAGACTCGTAGTAGTGGTGCATTGAAGTTGTACAATGTTGGTGCACCATGGGAGAGAATAGCCATTGACGTGGCGGGGCCGTTTCCGGAGAGTGAAAGCGGTAACAAGTATTTCATGGTTGTGATGGATTACTTCACTAAGTGGCCAGAAGTCTTCGCCATTCCAAATCAAGAAGCTTCAACAGTTGCAGATTCACTAGTTCATGAAGTCTTCTGTCGTTTAGGAGTACCTTTAGAGATTCATAAGCGAAAAAAGGATTTTGAGTCTCAAATATTCCAAGAAACTTGCCGAGTTATGGGTACTCATAAAACAAGAACGACTTCTTATCACACGCAATCTGATGGAATGGTAGAACGATTTAATCAGACATTGGAAAGGTACCTAGCAAAAGTTGTAGACAATCGGCAACGAGATTGGGACAAGCACATACAACCGGTTTTTTTGTCATATCGAAGCGCTGTTCACGAAAGTACAGCAGTGACACCAGCTTTCGCAAACTTTGGAAGAGAATTACGGCTCACTGCAGACCTGATCACCGGGATACCACCTGATGCCCCACGCAGTATAACCGATTATGCAAATGACTTGCGGAATAAAATGAATGACATTTATGAGCACGTCAGACAATCGGGCCAGCAAATGTCTGAGAAGATGAAAACCCGGTATGACCGCAAAATGAACAATAAAGGGTTCGACGAAGGTTCACTAGTGTGGTTGCACAATCCAGTCCGCAGCAAAGGGAAATCTCCTAAGCTTCAAGCTAAATGGGACGGCCCGTACCGGATTGTAACCAGGATCAACGATGTAACTTACCGGATACAGAAAGGCGCAAGAGGGACTCCTAAGATCGTCCATGTGGATCGCTTGGCGCGTTATTATGGGGCCGATAATGCTCGGGACGAGCATGTCTTAGGAGGGGGCAGTGTTGCGCGCCTAAGTTAACGTCATGTTGTGTCAGGGACGAGAGCGGGGGGAGCTTTCCAGAAAATGACATCACTAATCTTTCAACCGACAGCGCCATCTAGTGTTGAAACGAAGAACTAAGCTTCTAGAAGCCGATACTCGAACATTCGACGCCTTGCGCGTATTTACTTGAATGTTCTGGATGTTTCGGTGCTAATGTGTATTTATAGGCGCTGCAAGGTGCGATCGGGGAAGTATTGAATTTGACGAGACAAGCGAAGCTTCGGAGCGGAATAAAGTGAATCAGTGTGATTAATTATTAGTGTTTTAAGTTTAATTAGTGTAAAGTGAATTAAAGTGTTAATTTTGGTAATTCAATCGGCAATTTTTATTGTCACGAACCCTAAGCTCGTAACAGTACGTTTCTAGGGCAGGCGGAAAAAAGTACATTGACCTTTGACGATATCATCGGGGTAGGCAATCTTTTTTGTTTAGGTTCATTTTTTTATCCTTTTATCATTACATACATCATCAGAGTGAAAGATAAGGGTGCCGAGTGCGAAATTCTTTACAGGCCCTATGTCTATTATTTTTTTAAATTACATTTAGATACAAATTACATGAATAATATTTTTGATCTTATTGACATAACAGATAAAACTGAACTGGTTATTTGAATAAAAAATCATGAGTGCAATTCATTTAGTTAAAATTTTCATATTTTTAAAAAATACTAAAAAAAAGGGCTCGAAATAATTTTTCTTTGATTTTCTCACAAAAGAAGGGAACTTGAAAAAAAAAGGAAAAAAAGTCGGACCGAAGCGGGACGCGAACCAAGGCATTACGATTTCACAACCGCTCGGTATCCACCTGAGCTATTACGATCATTAACACAGTGTCAAAATGTACCTTCTTATATTGTAGCAGTTTATCATTGCCTGAAAACACGGACAAAAAGACATTTTCTAAAACTAAATCCTAGCTAGATCGATTTATTGCCCCCGAAACTTCCTAGACACTAAATTTTATGAGAATCGTTGGAGCCGTTTCCGAGATACCGATTAATAAAAAAATATATATATATATATATATATATATATATATATATATATATATAATCGGTCCTTCACTGCTGGCCGTATGAGGACGCTCAAGGTCGCTCAGCGAGCTATGGAGAGGGCTATGCTCGGAGTTTCTCTGCGTGATAGACTCAGAAATGAGGATATCCGCAGTAAAACCAAAGTGACCGACATAGCCCAACGGATTAGTAAGCTGAAGTGGCAATGGGCCGGCCATATAGCTCGAAGAACCGATAACCGATGGGGAAGAAAGGTTCTCGAGTGGCAGCCTCGTACCGGTAGGCGTAGTGTAGGGCGACCCCCACTAGATGGAGTGACGACCTGGTAAAATATACAGGAACTCGATGGATGCAGGTGGCTCAGGACCGTGCTTTATGGCATTACTTGGGGGAGGCCTATGTTCAGCAGTGGACTTGTGAAGGGCTGTGATGATGATGATGATGATGATATATATATATATATATATATATATATATATATATATATATATATATATATATATATAATAGGGCAGAAATCACATTGCGTCAACACCCGCGAGGGCCATCGCAATGTTTTATTTTAATTAGACAGTCGGATTCTCCTGGCAGCATAAAACTTCTCATAATAGATTGTCAGAGACATTTGACAGACTATACATCTGTATCTATTTCAGAATCATTTTATGATGATAAAGACATAGAAGAGTCAGTCACATTGATTATAACCTAAAATATCGGCAGTCTTCTTTTTCATATCCGTTTTGGATGGATATACGTCACTAGACCACGTTTCTTTTATATATTTATAGAAGTTTACAATCATTATTTTTTCGGTTTCGGACGTAAACTTTTTATGAGATTTTCATGTCGATGGACCCGATTTCATACTAGTAATAATGTACTAAACGTCACAAAACAATAACAAAAACTTTAATATAAAAGGTAATAATACAACTAACAAAACAAACTTAATAAAAATTAAAGCAACTACTATAACCGATTTTAAATCTCAAACTATCTACACTCAAGCGCATCCCAAAGCAGAATAAGGAATGATTTCTGCTCCATCCGCTTTCTCAAATACGCATGGCGTGAGACCTATCGCCAATCGCGTCGAAACAGGTTTATTATCTCTGAATGACCGCTTCCTTCACCCTACCCAGTACTATGAGACACACTTAGCGCATAACGATACGTAATCTATAAAGAAATGTATGGAAACAATAACCGTCGTTTTGTTTCGATGCTAACATAATACCTAAGGTCAATGTACTTTTTTCCGCCTGCCCTAGAAACGTACTATAGCAAGTTACGCTTTTAAATTCAGTCACTAAAAAAAGTCGCTAATGCGTGCGTGCCTAACTGGTACTACTAGCTTGTGTCTGTTCCTAGTATTTACAGAATGAATTACAAACTTATTTTTGTAACGGGTAAAATTACATAACCTACTAAACACGCTTTTATGATTTTGCACCTCGCAAACCCATAAAATAATCTGACGTATCATAGTGATGAATCCAAATCTCAGCTTACGGTCAAGACAAAAATATGCCCGGGTCATTCTATTGGTTTTAGAGATATACCCTTGAAGTGTCTATCAGTCACTTTTTTTATTCATCGGCTGACATTTTAGATACACAATGTTTCATCGAGGATCATATGAGTGCTACCATATAATACTAACTGAATGTCTTACAGGCATCTAAGCCTAATCTAAGCTCTATAGTGCTTTACCACTTAAATACCTACTTTTCGTCATAGTATTGTAGTCAAGCATTGACTTTCGGTCAATAAAAAAAGCTGAAAGTCAATTTCTAAGGTAGGCGGAGAAACAGGCAGTGACCTTCACGCCTGCAACAGGAGTAACCAAACTTTTTTGGTATGATGCTAAAAAATTCAAAGTTTATCAATTTATATGCATATATATTAAACAATTGCAAAAGAATAAGAAGCAAGAAATCGTGTTTAGTGCATTTCTCAGACGAATATAGATTTATTCCATTCAATCTTCATTTTTCACTGTTGTTCTCTATAAATATAAATTATCATATAATATAAGTCTAATAAAAAAACACGATATATAACTGCGTAACTAAGTTAAAATAATAACAAATAAACAAAATCAAAACTACCCAAACGAAGGCAAATTTCAAAGCAGAGTGAGCTACGCTTTGCCTTACTCAAGTAGTACTCCGCGCGACATGTTTAAACAGGTTTGATACCTCTGAATGACCGCGTTTCTCACCGCACCCCATACCAATAAATGCGTAGCTAAGCGTTAGCGATAAAGAAATGTAGGGAAAGCGACAGGTATCGTTTTTTATCGACGCAAACATAATACGATGTGTCGTTGTCCGATTTTCGGATATACATAAATGGTTGGATTAATAGGCAATCTATCTGACTGTCGAGTCACGGCTCCTGCTTTGCAATCACAGTCGGATTTAGCTTTATAGACTCGTTATATTGTGTTTCACTTGCTAATGATAATAAGTTTTTTTTTTAAATGCTTTCAGATCACACGGAGTAAAAGACAAAGCGTCACGTATTGAAAACAAAGAAAATTTTTATTTTCGTCGTTCATATTTAGAAACAAATAAAATATACAAGAGCAATGATTATGATGATTATAGCAGCGGGCTCATCGAACCGCGCGCGTCAATGCACTTTCACTATTCCGCCCCGGCGTACTCCGATGCGAAAACGCCGGTCAAAGTCTACCGACCCAGAGAAGACCCACGCCTCTTCTACCAGTCTGACGAATATCTTAAAGAAATTAATGGCAAGAACGTTAACTACGAAGTAGCCTCTATTTATCCAGGCAGAGAAGTCGTGAGGATTGGTGAAGAAGATATATTTAGAACTCTACCTACACGACACTTGCGGACCAGGGAGAATAATCGAATTGATTTTGCAGGTTTCATTTCCTTTATCATCTTATAATGGAATAACTTAAAATCTATTTCGAAATACGTATCCAACACTATTGTTTCAGAGTTAAATCACTGTGTGAAATGTCCATACGATATAACATTAATTGCCAAAACGGGGTCTGACCGCGTCATATTACAAAGCCCTCGTTTGTTGTCATGTTCAGGACGTAAAGCCCCTCAAAATATCCGATTTATTCACTTGTATGGTCCGAAGTTTGGTTCATTACTGCAAGAGGGTTCGTATTCAATAGTTGGCCGAATTATGAATTGGGATGAAGTAAGTTTACTTTTTTTTAATTTCTTCTCTAATATTACCGTCTTTTAATTTTACTCCTTATCTTTTTCATCATAGAATCTACAAGTATGCAAATTTCAAGTACATGTGGTTACCCAAAGTTGCCGAACTCCAAAATCAATAGTAGCCCATTGCAAAGGACTCAATCGACCTTGTAATTTCACCTGCCGAGATAGCAACTTGGAAATATATGGAGCATCTTCACTATCATGTGGAAACGACTTACAATGGGAGGGCAATCTTCCAATATGTAAAGGTATCCGTTAAAAATACACTTTGTTCAACAGTCTAGACTCGGTTTATACGTATTTATATGGGATTTTTTTTAATATTTTATGATTTAAATCATAAAAAACTTCAAAATCTATGGTGACAATCAAACGCGTTATTTCTATAAACCTCCTAAAAATTTATTAATACATAATATATATAAAATTAAAGTATCTGTCTATAATACCAAAATAGCTGCCTTTTATTGAGCTTAAGGGTTATTTGAAAGCCATTAAGACATGAACAATATTTTTTTAAATATTTTTCTGTCCGTCTGTTCAGTCTAATTTTTAATTTTATATAAAAGAGGAAGCAAACGAGTATGCAGCTCACCAGATGGTAAGTGTCGACCACCGCCTATGAACAACCACAACACCAGTGGAATTGCTGGTGCGTTGCCGGCCTCTAAAAAAGAAGTAAGCTCGTTTCCTAAGAGGTGGTAGGTCATATCGGTCCGAAAAAATCGCTTGTGGTAAACGATTCCACAAAGCAGTCGTGCGAGGAAAAAAACTCCTTGAAAATCGCACAGTAGTGGACCGCTGAGCATCCAGATTATGTGGATGGTAACGTAAATATTAATAAAATTAAATGTCCGGGGTCTGAACTCTGGATATTTGTACATGTGCAAATTTTATCTTTAATATCCACACAAGCGAAATACGTCGCGTTTTGAAAGTTTAATAAAATCTAGAAGGTACTAGATAAAATTAGTGTAAACATGTAATATTATAATGATATTGTTCATTCCCAATATTAGAGTATGTACTATTATGAGATTATAATATCTTTACGTGGTAGAGCCATGTTGCAGCTATATTAGTAGTATAGTTGTAGCATGAACGGTTCGGTTCGACCGGGGAAGGGCCACGCTCTCACTGAATACCAGCGTAAAATAACAGCTCAACGCTGCTATGTTTCCTATGGTGAGTGTAGAGAACCGGAGACCCATTTTACTGGAAACGAGGCATTCCATGTTAATCTTCACGGGTGACAACGCACTTGCATTTTGATTCGTAATCGAGGATAGATGTAGATATCAACGAGCCCCAGCAACCATGAGGCTGAAGCTAGCTCCTAGTTTTAGCTCCCAGGTCGGTTAAGGTCAGACAAGCTATATTGAAGTTTTACCAATAACAAAAAAGTTTTGACTTGACAGGTTATGTTGCTTGAAAATTCTAAAATTAATTTGAATTATAAGAAAAGATAAAAAAAATTCAAATAATATTTTGACAGCGGAAAGCAAAATAACGGCATTTTTGCGGTATTGATGAATAAATTTAGAAAATTAATTTTGGAATAGTCGAAAAAAATAAGTTGACAATTTTTCAATTATAAAAAAATATGAGTCGTAATTTTTTTTAAAAATTAGGCCGAGACTGAGATTGCAGTCTGAAAAAAGACTACAATCTAATAGTGTAAGCTTATTTTTTTTTTTGAAAAATTCACGACCTATGTTTTTTTTAATTAAAATTCATTTATAATTATTTATAAATTTTTAAACAAATGTTTTCCCTAACCGACTATTTTTTTTCTTCAGACTTCAATCTCAAAGTCGACGACGATGACGAATTTACGACTTATATTTTTTTCACAATTTAAAAATTGTCGATTCTTGTTCGATTATTCCAACATTAAATTTCTAAATTCATTCATCTATATCATAAACGAATGCCTGTAATTTCCTTGCCGCTCTCAAACGATGGTTTAAAGGTTTTTAATTTTAGAACATAATTGGCTTTTTAGCTACATAACCTGTATTCAGTGGCGAAGCTTCCATTAAAGCCGAAAAGCCGGGCTTGCCTTATTAAACCCGAATCAATCAATAAAATCAATCTATAATATCAAATAATAAAATAACTCGTAAAATATTTCAAGCTATTTCAAATTTCCCGCGCACTCCACTGTTCGACACATGTCGACCGATGACCTCGTATTGCTTTAGCGATACTGCTGCTGTCAAAAAAATTAGTTTTAATAGAGCTAATAGTTGTCTCCCTCGCTTGCGTGGGCTTTTACGGGGCTTTCGAGAAGACGATCGCTTTCTTTCTAACCTATGGCAAAATATTCTATAATGAAATATAACTACGATTGTATATATAGCAATTAGTATAGAAATTTAAAGCCAGGCTTTTGGGAATAAATTTGTTAAAAGCGGAGGCGCGCGGGCAATACGTTTGCAAGTTCATTTCACGTTTCAATGTTTATTTACTCTGTGTGCTTATCTTAAGCGATTTAATATTACGACTTCAAAATTTATGCTTTTTTAAAGATTTTTAATGAAAATGGAGGATAATAGTGTTCCTTTTGATGAATTGAAAGTGTGTTAAAGTGATAATCGGAGAGGAAATCTTTAAACTTTGTTGAGATAATACACAAGGTTAAGAGTGTATTTCAGACTTATCAATTATCGCAATTAAAAACAGTTATTGGTACAATTAAAACGTTCACCAACATTTTACGTGGACGTAATTAAATATTTCCATAAGAAAGCGAGACGATTCCACTTACTATCTTATCCATTAGAATGTAAATATTTTTTTCTTAATTTTATAGATAGTTTGTTTGTACTTTGTTCGTGTTTTACTTTTGTTCATGTATTGTATTGGATGTAAATATTTTTTTCTTTCGCTTAAACAAACCCAAACGGCTTTCTTCAAAACCACCGAAGCTATGCAATTGCTGATATGTAATACAATCTATCTAGCAGTGGTATGCCTTCTGTGTGCTTTGTTAAACACGTCCTTGACAGCACTGACTATGAAACTGAAGCGTGGAGACAGATCAATATTGGTGTATTTTTATAAAACTGCTAAAAACAACAATCTATATTTTTATCAATTTATATCCCGGGCTTGCCCTAGCTTGGAGCCCTAGCTTCGCCACTGCCTGTATTATATTATATTCTATCATTGGTAAAACTTCAATATAACTTGTCTTACCTTAACTGACCTAACCTCCTAGGAGCTAGGTGCTAGCTTCAGTCTCAACCAGTAACCACTTACCATCAGGTAGACTGTGTGCTCGTTTGTCAAAAAATATTTAATATGTGTGTATGTGATTTACGTAATCGAGATTAAAATTTTTCCTCAGCTCGTAACTGGTGCAAGGCGCCATTACCTCCAGACCACGGGCGCATAAATTGCATAGGAAATCCAGATGGAGAAGCGTTAGCAGGTTTAGCCGAAGGATCAAGATGCCGTGTACGATGTGAGCATGGTTGGCGTCCACATTCGCGAACCGTAACCGTGTGTCGTCGTGGTATTTGGACTCATTCGATTTTATCATGTGAACCAATTAACAGCACACAAACTGGATAAATTAAACCTAAGATACTGGATTAAGTAATTAGGCCCTCTGTATTACTAACAAGGCATTCCATCTTAGTTTCCAGTGCTCAGGAGTAACTATGAATCAGTATTTTGATTTTTAATGTAGGATAGATATATCTATGGTAGGTGTCTATGGGACGCAGTATCAACTTACCTATAAGCGGACTGTGTAGCTCGTTTTTCACTTTAACTTCTTTACAAAATATTATGGATTGTAGAAGTAAGGACTGTGTATTAAAAAGTGTCCATAAAACCTTAAAATAAGGGTGGCGTCACTATAGCTACGGGGTAAATTTTAAAGAACACACCGAAAAATATTAGTGGGATAGACGACTTTTTCCAGGTTATATTTACTGAATAAAATTATTTTATGTTTTAGAGCTACTGAGCAGTTTAACAGCACATTTAAACCGTCGACAACTGCTAAGTTCATTTCATCCCAGTAGCTACTCCAGCGCTGTTGTGGAGAGTTTTTGAACTGTTATTTACTGTTTACAGATGACCACTTTTTCAACTATTCTACTATGGGAGTTGGTACTCCTTACTTTTACACTCCATACAAAATATTACAACAAGTTATAGGGATGTCATTATAAACTGACATAGGCTCTATCTATGTAATTTTTTTTTTAGAAATATTAATACTCGAATATCGACCAACAACAATAACTACACGAATGATTTTAATTGTATTCTTGTGTTAGGTCAAAATAATATAATCGCCGATAGCTTTGTTTAATATGTCGTCAATATTCACCAGCTGGAAAAAGTCAAACAATCAATAATTATTAAAATTATTAAATAGTTTATTAATAATTATTAAATAGTTTATTAACTTTCATTCTTAGAGAGCTTGACTTAACAATGAGGAAAATGAAGCAAATATCCATTAATTATTAAATGTAATTTCCAAAAAGGTTAATATTGAATTAAAGTAATAAATGAATAAATATTGATCAAAGTTTGGTCAGTAAATAAATCGTGGTGTTTTATTTAACACAAGTCCTTATAAAAACCAAATTCAAACGAAAAATTTAATTTATATAAAGCGCGCTCAAAATGAATACCACATATCGTTATCGTTATCGTTTTTGTTATGCTTGCACATTGTGTAAGCATAACAAAAACGATATCGACATAAAACTTATAAAATGTCATTTAAAAAATAATACTAAACGTAAAGTAATAGCCCAAACACGGGGAATTCAAATCTGCGACATGAATACAAATATGCTGTGCACTGGTTTGCTTCTCCTTTTATTTCTAAGAGAATTTTAGAAATATTTAATTTCTAAAACATCCTGATTTCGATATTTTGGGCGATATTTATTTCAATATTAGATATAGAAGATTAGTAAGATAATATAGCATATCAAGTATCAAAAATGTATCAAACACGACATATTTTCAGTAGCAACAACGTTGACGCCGCTACATAAATCCAGACTGGTGCAACTTCTGTAGTAAAAATTTAATATACGAAACGTGAGCAAATTTTAATGGCTGTTATCTCTTATTTTCGTATTATGTCTATCACAGAGTACTTTTTCATCAATGACATTGTAAAATCAATATTAAAGTCACATTTTGGTACATTTATTTTAATTATTTAGAATGATTTTAATTTTGCTAAAGGAGACGTTGTCCTTTTATAAAACTGTAAAAAAATCAAATATGCGCAATAAAACTTGACATTTAGATGATGTAAGAAGCGAAAAAAATAACAAGAAAAGGCGATTGATAGCAATATTTCCCGTAGATGACGAAAGGTATGTAATGATTTCAAATTTGATTGGTTTTTGTAGAAATATCCTCTAAACCGAACCAAAGAATATATACACTACGCGAAAAGAAACGACACTTAAGCATGTGTACACGTAAAATCGCAGACTGCCCTGGTCGAGGGCTAGTAGTAATACCGATATTTGACAGTATTAGTTAATATGAATGTATTCGTCAAGTGAATATTTCAATTAATATATGATTATTACTGATATCTTAATGTACATATTACTATTCTATTCATGTAGGTATCAAGTTTATGTTACCAAGTAACGTTGTTAGTTTTTATAGCCGTGTATGCTAGGTTTATATGCTTTGATAAATATTAATGTTGTTATTAAATAAATGATATTATAGTATATGTATAAGTATTACTGAAAGTGATTTTAAGTGATTAGAAATAAAATAAATTCCACTGCACAAAACAAGGGCCCTTGTTTTGTTAGTTTAATATTTAATAATGTTTTATGATACCTAAAAATATCTGAACTCATTTTAATGAAAGTCGATATGATCTTAACAAGAATTATGGGGAAATAACATGACAATAAAACTAATATATCGTCAATAATTTTATTATATTACTTTAACTAAAATATACACTATTAAAAATACCACTAGAGAGTCAAGAAATTTTAGATATCTATAAAGAGTTTTTGTATTTGTTCATTGTTGTATTTATGGATTATTTCATTAGAAATAGAAACGACTTATCTCTTCAACACATAGGGAACAATTTGTTGGCCGCCATGTCCTTTGGATTTTCTAAAAAAAATATACATGCTACGAATTTTTGCAATTGTTAGAAATAATAATGAGAATTAAAAAATTTATCGAAAAATTCAAAAATATATAAGAGTAAATTATTTTTAAAGTATAGTAGGTAATACTGATTATTGCGTACTGAAATAAGTTTTGGTTAATTATTTAAGATTACCATTAACTGTCGTGCATATTTGGTTTTGTCAGAAGTTTTAATATCCCTCATTTAATAAAAGTTGATTTAAAATTGAACGTATCTTTCACTACCCAAATACATAAGTTTACATAATATATAACACATACCTACTATGTATCTTCTTTGGTACAAGTCTATAATATTCCATTTCGGTTCGATATCAACCCTAGCATTACACGCTTCGACTCAAGGTCACCGGCGCTTAAGCTCTCACGTACAGGGAGTGTCACCGCTGTGACCGAACTTCGATCACCAACGCTAGAATCACTGGAGATTAGCCATCTACTTAGAACAGATTTTTATAGTGTTTGTTTGTGTGCTCAAATACAAACACACTATTTTCTACATACTATAACTCTAATATTTCAATGAGATGGAAATCCGAAACGAGATATACTTAGAAACGATGTTATCAATTGTGACAACTGACATTCTATTCGTTGAATAAAAATATGATTTTGTTTCATTGAGCTAATATGTACTACGTACTAGAGGCGACACTGCATTCAGCTACTATGTTCCATTCAACTGCGGTGCATACACCGCACTTTAATCAGTCACTCGCTAGGCGCTTCTAGAGTTGACACGTGTTATGTTGATTTAAAAAAATCTCGTGATAAAAATATGCCGTCGTGTGCACTTAGATATTGCACAAATAATTCAAGAAATGTCAGTAAAAACCAAGGAATTGCTTTTCATTGGTTAATAAGATACTTAATCAATAAAAAAAAGTATTATAAATTAGTAATAAAACAAATTATTCCTAAGACGCCATCTTGTGTCACGTAATATAGATTATGAAATTAATTTGTTCAGATGTGACATTTCTGGGGGTACTTAAATATAGGACAAATATATTATTATACACATTTTTTTGTAGAAACATATATGAGTTATCATAATTAGGCCAAATTTTTTTATATTTAAATCTGCTAATTATTCTTATATTTTATTTTTAGGTTTCCACATTAAAGTCAAAGTTGAATAAATTCGTCAATTTTTAACTCTCGCGTGCCCAGTATTTATGAACGGCTCTTATTCTAATTTAAATAAATATGTTTGTAATTTAAATGTTATATTAACAAGTTTTGTTAAACATACATTTAGTATGTTTTTTTATATTTGAGATAGATACCTTTTAAAATATTGAGATAAAAATATCATTAAAATGTAATTGTGATATAATATTATGTAATATTATCTTAAATAAGCAAATATAATATACAAAATAAATGACAAAATTTTAAAAATTGTTCTCTATATAATTTACCTACTTAACAGTACAATCTCTTATTACCTACTGATCATTCTACCTATGTTTATTCTATGATAAGAAAACAAACCGCGCGAACACAGAGTAGCGCACATTTTTTGTTTCAAATAGCTGTTCTAGTACGTAAGTACATATTACTTCAATGTTGGGTTCATTATAGCTTACATCACTTTTACTGTAGGGACGCATTAAATATGACTTCAAAGGAAAAGCTTCATCTGCCACCATTACATGTGTTAATGCGTCCAAATCAGAAACTAAGGGTTTATTAGCAGGTATTTTTAATTGCGTTGTTCTAATGACTCCAAGTCATCCAAATTTGGCAAACAGAATTTCTGTTAGTGGGTTTTACGATATATTTTAACTTAGCACGATCAACCTGAATTACAGAATTTAGCCATTAACAAAATTTAGAAAAATTGAATCAAAATTAAACGTTTCTTAAATTCTATTGCTGAACACTTCGGGTATTCCCTTAATCCGTATCCTAAATTTATATTTATTGAAAACTTTAAGCAACATTATTCAAACGCTGAATTTTATTGACCCATAGATAAAACGAGTATAACGACTAGAGTGGTCTATGGTATATAAAAAAAGCTAAAAAACGGCTACAACCAAGCTACAACCTTCTACAGAGGATATAGGGTCATTCATATAGCTATTTTTTACTTTTTTATCCTTTATACGAGGTTTTCTTGTTTTCAAAACTCTCTCTCTATGCTTGTACTTACTCTGAGGTAAAAACTTATGCAAGTGGTTAAAGATACGCGTCCACAGGCTCGCGCCCTCGCGCCGGACGCATCACACGTAGGCATGTCGATCTAAAATCGATTAATCGAAAAATCGATTCTTTGGAGTAAAATCATCGATTTTTTAGATCGATTCACTGAATCGATCCAAAAACCTCTTGAATCGGACTGATTCATTTGATTCAATAACTAGCTAAAATTCCCAAACTGGCTGGAGTAAGAT